ATATTAAAGCCTGTCAAATGTCTTTCTAAAGTGGGGACAGAAAGTAAATTGCACTTAATTTCTGAAGACTCTGAATTTAAAAAAGAAACAACAATTGGAAACAGTTTTGAACTGGTATTATTGCTTCCATCCGTAGAGAGGCAGAATGGAGCTGTTTTAATGCAATCAATAACTGAAGATATTTCTTTAATAATTGCACCTGTTTTGGTCCTTGCACTTGAGTATTTTTTAGCAATTTCACTATCGGGGAAACATTTTTCTAAATAAAGCTGAAGCGTTATCTGATGCATTCAGTGGCAGGTTGTGCTCCAGTAAACTGGCAAAGAACAGACATTCTGCATTAATAACTTTTTGGTCCTTTTCTTCTGAAGAAAAATTTTTCGTTTTTTTTTTTTTTTTTTTTTTTTTTTTTTTCAAAACAACTCATGTTGTCCTTGTATTTTTGTGTACGCACATGATTGAGAACATCCCCCTTCAACCATGCGAAATCGAAAAATCACAACGACAGACAGTACACATCACAAATTTATTACATTTCCTTGAGGAAATAATGGAAGGAAAGTCAACTGTGTACAATTTTTGAAATGTACAGGAGTATTTCACCTTTCTTGCAGACATAACAAAAGATGATAATTTCTAAAACTATTTCCCAAAGGCGTACTCACACGACTCAGGACAAGATAACGAAATAACTAAAGAACCTCCAAATAACAGCCTTGAGCTTGCTTTGTGCTCATTGATTAATATATGGCAGATGGCACGCAGTGGAGCTTGGAGAACGACGTTTCTTGATACGTATGCTGTCCCTTGCAAAGCAGAAATCCTCATCTGATTTGCAAGGTTTTGTTTTAGATATAATCTAGAGAAAGTTTAATTGCTTTCCGACATTCAAAATCCTTTTTTTTTTTTTTTTTTTTTGTGTGTGTGTGTGTGTGTGTGTACGTGTGTTCATATAACGAAGTATTAAGCCAAGTTCCATAAAAATCGTGAGAAATTCTCAGAATAAGAAAAAGTCGGGAGAAATATATTGTAAATTGAGTTGGCGGGACAGCGGTCGAAAATCGGGAGTCTCTCGCCTAAATCGGGAGAGTTGGCAACTCTGTCATAGTATTATATACAGAATTGGAATTTATCAGAAAAGTCAATGTTACACTAATCTATGTGCATTGCCAAACACACTATCATAACCACAGATGCCTAAGTTATACTGTTACAGGTGAATTGAAACAATGTCTTCTCACAAACAGTTCTTTATATAGTATGATTACTACAAATAATACCGAAATGACACCACACTGTACATACAGGTATTTATTGTTGCGACAAATACTCTTAACTCCTCAACTAGGATGCTTGATGCAGATGTAGAATCCATACTGGCTATGTAAACAAAATGTCTGTCCTTTGGGCACAGGTGTGTCAACTTCATTAATCCTACTTCTGAATGCATTAATTATGCGCACACTACATGACAGTGGTCAGATTCCTACCAAAGCAGGCAGCAGTTTGACAGGAATCCAAATATACACAATGCTATGGTTTTCCCCATCTAGAATTAGATGCAAACTGACTTCATCTTACAAGAGTCATACTGAAGATTGTCTACACAAGCAATTAATGAGCTAACATTCATATGAAACACCCAAGGCTATTAAGTGTACACTTAATAGCATTGCTAATGATCTGCAAGACCTACTATGGTGTATACATCATTAATTCAGGTTTTCCAGTTGCTTCCTTCATGTTATTGCAATTTTCATGGCCAGCAGTTGAGACAGTACTCCGATACTATCTATTTTTTAAACCACAAAACCATGAATACATATTTAAAATATTTACCTTCTCCTGAGTTTTATGTTGTTATTTTCATAATTACATATAACGGTCCTAAATGAAAGTACTGTAAAAAACCAATTTCACTTACTCAGAAGGGATTCTTTTCTATAAAAAGCTACATTTAACCATAAATACAGATTTGAAACAGCTATTACCAAGACAAAATTTTGAACATATTCTCAATTTTTAAAGTTAGTGCATGCCTTATTACTCCTGTCTTGGGAAGTTTATGTAGTTTCCGAATTATGCACAACTTATCCAAATATAAAATATAATGATATAGCTTTAATCAAGTGTAATCGATAGATAATTATGCTTATACTTCATCTGTTATACTACTACAACACTTACATACATTGGGCTTCATGTACACAGCACAAAAAGAAGGAAAAGTTCTATATCTCCTGTTTCTACAGGGCCAACTGACGAAATTCAACTTGAGTTTTCCATGTCTTGAAAGTGCAACTTAGGATGTATACGGTACAAAGTCCGTAATCCGGACTTGTCGGGATTTCGGCGATTCCGGATTAGGGTTTTTCCGGATTATAGATCATCAATTTAAATCTAGCATGATGGCATGCAGAAATTATGCATTTAAAAATATTAAACCGTAATTTATGAAATAAAGAAAAATTATGATCTAAAGGGGTATCAAAATTTACAAAGAAAAAAAGCTTAACATTTATTTGTTTACTTGATTAAACATTTATGCAAGTTGTTTAAGATGCTTCCACAAAAAATTCAAAAAGTTCCTTTTTCTTTTTTCTTGTGTCATCCAATGCCATACTCCTCGCATAATTTTGAGACTGATATGCCTTTATCCATTTTTTGCAGCAATTCCACTTTTTGTTTGATGGACATCGAAACATGCTTTCACTTTTGTAGATCCTTTGGCAGCTCTGAACTTTGGCAGAACTGGAAACTCTTTTTGACATAATCGAAAGTTCAAGCTTAATTTTCATAAAATTGCTCTAAAAGTCTGCAAAAAATAATAAGACAGACCCAATTAGAAGATTAAGGAACAGTGCAATCCGCAACATTAACTGAAATGCCTTGGAATCAGTAAAGATAATTTTAACCTAGCTTGAACCATGCGTTATACATTAAACGCATTATGCGCATGCATAAAGCATACCAAAGAAAAAGTTTGTAATTTTGAGGTCCGAATTATAGATCATTCCAGATAATGGATGTCCGGATTACGGATTTTGCACTGTATTAGATTTTATATATAGCATTATTCTAACATGCCACCTCCTCAATTGTGTTAATGGTCATCACACAGAACACTTGTAGACTTGAATATTCATCCTATTGCTTGGTTTTAAGAGAGTCTCATTAATCATCATTGTCAGTTTTATAGATGTTTAAGTAGTTGATGAGTTCCTACAGTTGATGGTAAACGCCGTTTGCATTAAAGGAAATTTTTAAAAAGCTCGCTGTAGCTGGAATCAAATTTGAAATTTGTATTGAGGGCCTAAAATTCCTAATTCAAGTTTAAAATGTAATCAAAAGCAGTCATACAGACTTCTAATATTTTTAAATAGTTTTTGTAACCTTGAATTGGTTGAAGAAAGTTTTAACTTGATTAAATTGTTGCTTAATCAATTCAAAAAATTATGGTTCATTCTGGTTGGCTGCATCTGGTGTTTACAAGGCAGAGGCGGGTTTCGATATCTCCTGTTGTTTGGCACTTGGAAGATTCGGGAACTCTTCTTCATTAAGTTTAAATTGGGGGTTGTTTGCATTTTTCTTAAATTTCTTCACGTGCTTTTTCTTGCTCTATTTTTTGTGAATATTAACTGGGTTTTTACTACAACCTCTATAAGAGACAACATGATTATCACCACACAAGCTGCAAACTAGGAGATGTTTTTCTTTATTCGTAGTACATTGATCAATCTAATGATTTTTTGCACATTTCAAACAGCACTGTGTATAATCACACAGGTCCCATGTATACCCATACATTTGGCACTTATGTCCGAAACTGCTATGAGAAAGAGGCATTTTCTTGATTTTAATGTTAAAATGCCTCCAGCATTTCATACCTGGATTTATGCACTTTTAAAATATTGACTTAAATTTTAGGATGTATTTTAAGATGCATACACACAACAATAAGAAGATGCCACCAAAAAATAGTCTAGGTCAGCGGTTCTCAACTTTTTGGACTAATGCGTACCATCTGGAAAAAAATTGAAAACCTTTAGTATCACCACTATAAAGTAATACTACCACCACTCTAGAACAAAAATTACATAAATTTACAAGTGTTAGAGAAAAACTCAATCAGGATATTGGGGTTTTAATTTTTCAATTTAATAGTTAAAAGTACTTTGCTTCTTTGCATACCACCTATTTTTCTCTTGCGTACCACCGGTTGAGAACCCCTGGTCTAGGTTATGTATATATGGCTTTGCCAGTCAAGTGGTTAGGGAAAACCATTTGTCTCTTTGTAAGGTGTATAAGTACTGTTCTAGTCCCAATAACAATAAAAAGGAAACATTTCATAAGAAACAAGAAATTTTAACAAAGTTAAAAATATATGTGGCCAACATTTACATTTCTACAATTAGTAGATACCATTCAGTTGATGGTATACAGCATATAAATCCACATGTATTTAAACATGTGTGCAGAATATGTATCGATGAGTTGGCTACTGTCAAAATGTATACTCAAAAATATACAAAAAAATTCATGTCTACCCAATGCTGAAACCAGGGTTCTCGATAATAGGAAAGTGTCAAAAAAATTTTAATGGCAAATCATTCATAAATCAGCTTTTTTTCAATTCACTAAGTTCACAGCACATATTAATTCCTAATACAACAGTGATCACAAAGCAAAATCTTTCTATACACTTTAAAAGCAAAATTTTGCCCACCAGGAGCTGAGTGATAAAGTCACTGAACAGTTTGACCTGGCTTCAAATTCTGGTGAATGGACTGGCTGCATGGGAATTTTTGTGTTTTCTCCTTATTTTAGGTGGATACGAGATAATTTCCCTAAAAAGGGATCTTCCATGAAGGCATCCTTTGTTGGATTCTGCTGACTGTTATAATAAAAAAAAAGGGCAAAATCATTCATACACTATAAAAAGCAAATTTAAAAAATAAGTCTTAATTACTCATTTCAAAACATATAAAAAAATTACTTACGAACATAGTCTATATTCTTAAAATGTTTCACAGCACCATTTACATTTTTGACTGAGCGGCTAGATAAAATTTCTGAAGGAGATTTTAATGACAGGATCACATTATCAGTTATATATACTTCAAGTATTAGCGTTGATGATGCCAGTTGAACATTTGCAGGATTTAAAACAATGCGAAAAGCCTTTTTATCCAATAAGTTTTCTAAAACTTCACGTGGCACATCACAGGTAGCACAGGCGAATTTTTCCTGTTTAAAGGCAGAAAAAAAAAAACTTTTTTGATGCATGCCAATTAAATTAATAAACCTATGGAAAAGTAAAGATATGCATATCATTTTTACACCAGAATATCATTTACAACTTTCGCAAATTTATCGAGTCTGAAAATATTTTAAACTAATTTCTACTTCTTCCTTGAATCATTTTTAATAAATAAATGTTTATAAAAGTCTACTAATGAAAGAATGCTTAACAAATTTTATTGATGACCTTTATTTTACATTGCTAAATCTTAACAGCACCCTATAAGGGTGGTCAAAAATACAACAGAATTTCTTATCATATAATGAGACTGTTGACACTTTTTTTAACTAATATTACACATTTAGCAAGATAATATTTCACCAAGATTTATTAGTATTTAAATTTCATTAAATGACTTTTTTTATCAATTTACAAAATTAAAATGCTCTCACTCTGTCCCCTTTAAGTGAATTAAAATAATATATGCAAGAATATCACACACTGTTTAAAGAAAAAATAATAAAACTAAAATACGACGATCTCGGAAGCAATAAGAAATTTTTAAAAAAAATCACGAATATTAACCTTTCATAAAAAAGAAATTAAATATAGTACTTCCCTGCAGCCATCTTAATAGAACTCACCAAATTTTCAGAATGTGACGAACTCTGGCAACATGTGCTAACCATTCTTCAGGCAACCATGCTCCCAACTTTAGCATTTTTCATATGACTATGTTCATTTTGCTATATTCCAAATTCCAGCAGTTTTCATAAACAAATTGCAATATTTTTTGCCTTAATTTTAAAATATACTCTTGTGAACTTAGCCTGCAATGGAAGAAATTCTGGTAATTTCTGGAGGAATACAGAATTCTGCTGCAAAATCTCTAAAGGAACGAGGAGTAACACTTGTTACTCCTGTGTTGCCAAGCTTTTTACAATGCCGAGTCTGCATTTCTTTGATTTTTTAAAGGTAAAAAAGTGAAAAAAAATGACAGAATGATTGAGACGAATGTAAGCACTTTGTTTTATAATGTATCATGCAATCCTTACTCAATAATTCAAATGCGCATTGCAAATTCCTAAAGTATACTTCCTTTTCATATGCTGATAATGTTTGCCAACTTACAATAAATATCAATAGTTCGAGCATCTTTTTTCTTAAAAAAGTGATGAAAACCACAAGCTTGCACCCAATAAGTAACTTTTACCTTTTTAACCTGTAAAAAATTTTCAAATTGTGCCAAGGACATAGACATACATGTTGTACATTTTAAGTAGGTATTCCTCAAAACCAATTAACAAACCTACTTTAAAAAAAATTTTTTTTTTCCTTTCTGGTGGAATTTCAGTGGCACTTATTTTATTATTTTCATTACAATTATTTTTATTTACTTATTACTAAGATTAGATTTCAAGCAATTATTCCTGTTAGCAGTTTCTGGCAAAGTATTTCCCCAGAAGTTTTATCACAATTTCTTCCATTACAGGCAAATCCAACAAGCACATAAGACAAAAAATACTACAATTTGTCTATAAAAACTTTTTCCACTCAGAATACAACAAAATGAATGCATGTGGAATAGCAATGTTGCTGGTTAAAACTGAAGAATTGTCATGCACATTGTTGTTCCCAAAGTTCAGCCGATTCCGAAAAATCTAGCAACAACTTCTAAGGTGGTTAAGCTAATACATTAGTACCTATTAGATTAATGTTACTAAATCAGGTAGGAAAGCATTTAAAATCAATGCTCTTGAAGAGAATGTTTTAGCAGAAATTGCATCACATTTACCTCGCATAATGGAAATATCATGAACACTTCATGTACAGGAACACATTCAAGAAATTGAACTCGGAATATAAACAAAGTCTACTCAATTTAAAATGAATTTTAAGTAAGGACACAGGATCTTGCTATCTTCTCTGATATCTATTACCACATTGAAACAGATCAATGCACAGTTCTTCTGTTAGCTTTAACTACAGTAAAATGTTTTAAAACACAATTGCCGAACTTGAAATCGTCGAAAACTCCAAGCCTTAAATAGCGCTTTGACGTAGCGTGGGTGATGTGCATCTGTGCTGAAATTCTAATCATTTGCATATCTCACCTCCACTAATGCATGTTGTAAATTTCATGTTATTTGCATGCTTCCTTCATGGTGTTGCATTTATGGTGGCCAGCAGTGTATATTAATCACAAATTCTATTTATCTTCTGTTATTTAGTTTATTGTTATTTACTCAGAAACTTAGTTCTTTCTTACAAATCAAAGAGCTCACTGTGCAAGTGAAATCCAAATAGATGCAGCTTAAAGTAAAACTTTCATGAGTGAAATAGGTATTATAGAATGGTGTATGAATTCCGATTTGAGAGGGCAAAAGTGCTTGTCGAAGAATGTTATCGCCATAAACACTAATGATACTGTTCAGAAAATCGACCAATCTATTTATGCATAGGTTCATTCTACAATCTTTGAGTTTTATACGGAATTTCTTGAAGCTTCTCAAATGATGCTGCATGAAATCGCTGAGAACTGGCTATTGTAAATTTAACTCGTAACAGGGGACGTGTGGTCTGATGGACCGCGCCACATGTTTCTCCCATCACCCCTATTTCATGCTTTGTCCAATTGAATGGATTCTTTCCCTAGCTTCACGTTTCCTGACCTTCTTTCTGACCCCTTCTTATCGGAATGCTTTGGCAAGTGTACCTGTTGAAATTCTTCTAGAGCGGTCTGTGAGACCTCACCTCCCTCTCAGTGTTGCAATTTTCGGCGTAGTGAACACATGGCTCTGAAGTTACGTCCGTGGAGATTCATTTATCCTTCTGATCCGCGTTATGCAGAAGAACTAAAAAAAATTCTAGATGAAGTTGGAAGTGATTTTAGTGAAGAAGATGACTGTGAAGAAAATTTCTGCGAAAGGTGCCCACTCAACAGACTCTGAATTTTCTGCAGACAGCAATGATTTCTCTGATCTAGAAACAACTAATTCCGTAAAATATTACCATGGAAAATCGGTTCAAATGGTCATCCGTTGAACCAAATCGAAAATTTAGAAGGCCAGCTCACAATATCGTAAGACTTCCTGGATTAAGACCTTACGGAAAAATTGATAATTCAGATCAAAAAAATGTATGGCAACTACTTTTTACTACAGAACTTTTAAGCATAATTGTGAAATGGACAAATCTAAAAATTGAAAGAAAAATAAAAAATATATGTGGTCCGATTAAAGGTGAAATTGACTACACCTGTGTTGATGAACTGAGAGCTCTTTTGGGTTTACTTATTTACACATCAGTCTTCAAATTCAATCATGAAGATATTGAATGTTTATTTACCACGGATGGAACTGGCCACGATATTTTTCGTGCAGTTATGTCAATGAAACGTTTTAAATTTTTACTTTCAAATTTGCGATTTGATAACCCAGATGATAGGGAAGAACGAAAGAAATCTGATCCGGCAGCACTTATTTCTGAAGTGACGAATTTATTCATTTGTAACTCCCAGAAAGCTTACACATTTGGCACTGGCGTCTGCATTGATGAAATGCTTGTTGGATTCAGAGGAAAGTGTCACTTTAAAATGTACATGTCCCAAAAGCCTGTGAAATATGGATTAAAAGTTATGTGTTTGACTGATGCCCGGAATAATTATGCTTACAATGCATATCTTTATTGTGGAAAAGACTCTGATGGAATTAGCATAGAAGAGAATTGGAAAAAATTCAGCAAATCAAGTCAAGCTGTTCTGTGTTTGAGCAAACCAATTTTTAATACGAACAGGAATGTAACAGCAGACAATTGGTTTTCTTCCATAGAACTTACCACAGAATTGTTGAAAAATGGACTGACATACGTTGGAACTGTTAAAAAAAAATAAAAAAGAAATTCCGAAAAATTTTCTTCCATGTAAGTCAAGAAAAGAGAATTCAACATTGTATGGATTTACTAAGGACATAACCTTGATTTCATTTGTTCCAAAGAAAAGGCGAGCAGTGGTTTTGATGTCATCATCGCAGCATTCGATAGAAACAGACTCGGAAACACAGAAACCTTAAATAATTGGTTTTTATAACAGAACCAAAGGTGGTGTTGATGATGCTTTAGATGAAAAATGTTCTGTCCATTCCCGTAGTAGGAGAACAACGCATTGGCCTATGGCTCTTTTCTACCGGTTAGTAGATATGAGTACGGTAAATGCATACATTTTGCATCAAGGTTATAACCAAAACCCTGTTATGCCCAGAATGGTGTTTTTGAAAGAATTAGCGAGAGAATTAGTCCTACCACTACTACACACGAGAGTGAAAAATCCAAGAATAAATCGAGAATTGCGCCTGACAATAAAGCGAATTTTAGGAAAAGAAGCTGAGTCTAAGGATGTGAAGCAGTGCACAAAAGAAGCTGAGTCTAAGGATGTGAAGCAGTGCACAAAAGAAGCAAAATTAAAATCAAGGAAAACATGTCGTCTGTGCCCCCCCCAAGCAAGAAAAGAAAGACCAGCATATTTATGTTTATCTTGCCAAGACCCTGTTTGTTTAGGAATGCAAGCAAAAAGTTATGCAATGAATGTGCTTAAAGAAGACGAAAACTAAATTGTTTACTACTATCAGAAAATCGGTGAGATACTGATATTTCAGGTACCCCACCGTCAAAATTTTTCTGTATTGTGCTACATACAAATTTTCTCTGGTTAAAATTTGCTTTAAATATTAAATAATATAGATAAATAGTAATTAATTCAAAATAAATGCATTCTTATTTTTAGTTTTATAGAATTTAGTGCAGCATATGATTTTTATCGAAAAATTTAAGGCTATGGGGAAATTTTCTGGGAAAATTTAATTTCACTTTAAAGTGTAAAAACATATTTTCTTTTCAGAGTAAAATGTTCAAAGAACATCTAAGTGAACTATCATGATGATATTTTAATTAGACGATTTTTAAAAAAATATTATAATGTGCGGTCTCTGAGACTGCACGTCCCCTGTTA